CAGCCGTGTGAAGTGGAAATCCATGGATCTTTCCATGTGTCATGTGTTTAATTGCCAGGGAACGCACATGCTGATTAAAAAAATTTAAATATATTGTTAGCCATGTTGGAAAAAAGCATCTGTTGCATGAATATACGAATGTTTGATCTGTACTTATATTCTTATTCTCTCTTAGGTCTAGTCGAGCACGACTCTTCTCCTCAAAACAGTTTGCATTTGAATGGTCATAGTCAAGTGACTCTGGGAGTGGTACGAAGAGGTCGGGGCCGACCGAGATTAGACACACAAATACGAACGCCAGTAGTGGTACCGTCGCCCCCACTATCCCAGGCCTCTGGAAAAAAGAGAGGGAGGAAAAGCAAGAAAGAGCTGAAGTCCCTACGAAGAAGCTCCTCCCATGAGGAGGAGCTTCATCTGTCTACTGGTGATGAGGGTGGGGCTTCTTCTACAGCCCAGGACAGTAGTCTTTCAGATTCAGGGGTAGTGACTCCAGAGTGTTCGAAACCACGAGGTAGACCACGAGTCATCAGGACGCCGGATACTCCAGCTCCTTCAAGCCCCAAAGCTCTCAGAAGGAGCAGTCGGCGTGGCAACGAAGAAACCATGCCCCCTACACCAGGCCCCGCCCTGGGGGAGGAGCCTGACATTTATATGGGAGAGGATGGGAGCTCGAAAGGGCAGATGAGAACGCGTAACCAGGGCCGAAGGACAGCTTTCTATAACGAAGAAGACTCTGAAGAAGATCAAAGACAGCTTTTGTTTGAGGATGCCTCGATTACTTTCGGCACGTCAAGCAAAGGGAGAGTCCGCAAGCTCACCGAGAAGGCCAAAGCCAACCTTATTGGCTGGTAACAATGCCAACTTTGCATGTCTTATGCGACACAACCCCTTATCCTCGCCCCACTGGAGAGGGGAAACCATTCCTGCTGCTATCAGACTCATGATTATCTGAATCTTTCATTCGGACTCTCTAAATAGATTCTCACGGTTTGAATCTTTGACTCTTTTGGTGACTTCAAGAGTCACAGCCCCTTGAAATCCCCTGATAAAATCACCCCTTGAAATCACCTGATACATTTTCTTCCACAGAAAAATCACAAATGCAGTTAAATACTGATTTTCATATGCACTATTTGAATGCCAGTGAAGAAAGGGACTTATACAGTCTTATGAATCCAAATACCTGATTTCATCTTTTAAGAAAGCACTTATTTGAGGATGTTCGTGTGTGTGTGTGTGAGTGTGAAATAACTTGAGCTTTTACTCTGTCTTGTTTCTTTAAACTGTTAATTTTATGCATTGTTTTTACACGGTTGTTGCTAAGGGCAACAAATCAAACACTTGTTCAGAAAAATCTATTTTTAACAGATCATTGTGTAAGTGGCTGTAAAGCAGTAGTGGAGTGCAGAGAAGGACCTCATAAATCGTGTGTTGTCTTTTTAACGTCTTTCTCTGCAAGTCAAGATCAGTGGCAGTGGTAATTCACGCATGTTTTTATATAATTAGCAATACCTTGTGCCTTTTCATACATTCAATACATTTTCGCTCCTTTGTACTCCCCAAGTTATGAGAGAAAGTGTGTTTGATGCTTTTGCGCATTGATTTATCCAGTACAAACATGTGTTGTTGATCTGTTGCTGGGATAGAGATTAGTGAGCAGCATATCTACCCATGACCACTGTGTGTGTGTGTGTGTGTGTGTGACATCATCACTCCATGTCTGTTTTATCAGGCTCCCAAAATGCACTGTGATCCCTAACTAGAACCAAGACTTATAAATACGGTGGCCACAAAAAAGTGTTTGGACACTTAAACCAGTTTTAATGTGTGAATGTCATTGCATTAGAGAATGAAATATCAAACCAGGTGGCTTTTGCAAACAAATGATGGTGGAGATTTTCTCAGAACTAACTTCACTTTCCGTGGCCGTTTTTTAAAATATGGCTGATCGTTTTATATATCAATTTGAAAATTAATTATGTGACTTATTATATTAATGATAAATAATTATTAATTTAGAATTATTATTCATGTTTTTTTTTTAATCTCAAAATGAATGCAAGTGAAATGCAAAACATTTTCAAAGTTTAACTGATTTTAACATGACTGTCGTCAAACAAGCAGCATTTTCATTTGGGGCTTTTTCTTATGTTCACCAAGGCTGTGCTTATTTGATTAACAATACAGTAAAAACAGAAATATTGTAAAATGTTATTAAAATAACTGTTTTCTATTTGAATATATATTTAAAAATACATTTATTCCTGTGATGGCAAAGCTGAATTTCAGCAACCATTAATCCAGTCTGTAGTGTCAGATTATCCTTCAGAAATCATTGAAATATGCTGATTGGTGTTCAAGAAACATTTCTTCTTATTATTAATTGTTGATAACTGTTGTGCTGCTTAATATTTTTGTGGAAACTGTGATACAGTTTTCAAATTTCGAGATTGTTTGATGAATAGAAAGTTAAAATAAACAGCATTTATTTGAAATAGAAATCTTCTGTAACTGTAATTTTCTTTGCTGTCACTTTTGATCCGTTTACTGAACAGAAATATTCATTTATTTAAAAAAAAAAAAAAAAAAAAAAAAGTACTGACCCAAAAATTTTGAAAAATAGTGTACAATTGATTGTAACTACTTTGATTCCTTTATTAAAAACTCATATGCTTACCACAGTAGTTCATTGCATTAAACAACCAGAAAGTAGCCAAATAATTTATTTTCATTTGGAACGATAAACCAATTTTTTGTGAAATATTTTGCTTTAACGTTTGCTTTCTTCTAAAGTGCCTCTTAGTTTGATATTTTGATATTTAATGCAATGACATTCATATATTTTAAGGCATTTCTCATGTATTCAAATACTTTTAATGCCACTGTTTGATGTTCCTCCAAACCACTTTTGACAGTTGTTATTATGTGTGTGTGTGTAGCTAAGTTCATTGCCTCACTGTCTCAACACTGTACCTGTAGATTCATGTAGCTCGGTGAGCAGGACTCTTTCTCTGTATTAGCTAAACTCATTCAATTACTGTGGAACTGCTTATTTCATTAGCAGAGAGGACTTTGTTTTTGCCCAATCACATTGAAACACTGTGTTTGATATTTCCCGTTCTGATGCATCGACTCTGCTTAAGTAGAAACCGCAGGGCAGCGAATCACACAAGAGGCAGTGTGCATGTCGTATTCTGTGTTTTGAATGTGCCTTGACTTTTTGTGTGTATGTACGTGTCTGTGATGTAAAACTGAAGAATTAAGGTATTGTATCCCACCTTGAAGTCCGGACTCGCATATGCAGCATTGTCTCTTTTATAAGAGAGCTGGATTACATTCAGTCTGGTTTGTCGCCATGTGATTTTGTCGGTTCTTGCGTACTTTTCAGCAGTTGTGGTCTGGGTCATCCATTACAATAGAGCTAATCCAGCCCATAGCTTTAAAACTGGTTTGATGAACCAAAGCCTTTGAATGAGACTCTCGAGTGTATGTGATGTCCATTTCTGTCTGTGTGTTTATGTACAAGACCCATGTTTTATTGAGCTGGCGTTTATAATCTGTTGCTACATGAAAACTATTATATCTGACTCGCGACCCCTCTATTGCCAGCATACTGCACAGGAAGTGACATCTCACGAGCTGATTGACAGGTTTTAGAGTGGAAATCAAAGATGGATGCATGTTAGTATATTCTCCGGTCTTTTAAATCTGAAGGTACAGTCATGTTTGTGGGGTCAGGGTCTTTTTTCCCCCTCTCCGGTCTTATATCCTCAGACTGAGAGGTCTTTCTATGTTAGTTTGTATACTTTTATATAAAGGAAAAAGTGTAAATAAAGACGTTAAATAGAACGTACGTGTAGGGTGTACTGCTGTCACATTAGTTCATACTGATATTTTAAGGAAATAAACATTTGTGTTTCCACATACTGTCTTGTTCTTCCATTCTTTAACATAGTTGTGCTTTCATTTCACTCATGGGAAACCTGGACATATCAGGGAAAACAAAAATTGTGATTTCCAATAGTAACAGAAATAAAATCTTTAACATTACAGGCATTTCTTTTGTGAATTTAAAACTTAACTAAACTCTACAATGTTTCTTTAGCTAGAGAAAGCTAGTAAATTTTGCTCTTATAATTGCAAGGATTGTTACCTTACATGCATCAGATTATACTAAATGTAACAGGGTCAAGATAACGTTTAAAATCATTAAATGGTCGATGATAAACCATTTCATGGAGATCAGCGCCCTCTTTCGTACATTAGTTGGAATTGCACATGCAATAAACCACTAGTTTTATTTGAAGGAAAATGTACCACAAGTTCAATTATATACATAAAAAAATTATATATATATATATATATATATATACAGTATATATATATATATA